TCATGCAATTGCCGAAAGCCATTAACACCGGAACACTTTCATAACAGGTGAGAGCTTCTGATGTCTCCACTCTACTTCAGTGTAACCATCACTTTCACCATAACAAGTTTCAAGTCAGAGATAACTCTATGTACTTTTTTTTTTAATAAGGTCTTCAGTCACTTACAGACATTGGCAGACACCACTCAGATTGACAGGAATACTACTGCAATGCCAAAGTTTGAGACTGTCAGTGTTACAGATTACTTGTTCTCTGCACACACCCATGGCCAGCTTCTACCCCAGAAAACTTCAGAGCTGACACATTTAAGCACTGTGCACCTGATTGTCAAAAGGCTGAAACATTTTACCCCAGTATTTCTAAGATCTATAGCAGAGTGCAGGAAACAGTCTTGTGGAACATCTGCACTACAGACTTTACTTTTTAATAAAGTAAAATCAAAACCACATTGGAGTGGGATTCAGAAAGAGAATCAGCATCTTGCTCCAAAAGCACAACTCCTACCATGCAGGACTAAGTGATTGCTACCTTTGGAGTTCAAGGCTTTCAAAAAAGTCATGCATCTTCAAAGATTTTTATTTAGAATTCCCCTTTTTCAGGGCATAAGGGATAAATTTCTTTATTATTGGTACAACACTGGAAGCACTCATACAACAGACAGCTGCCACTACTCTTCCTAACATACATGTCCCCCGGAAGAGAGTGAAATTGCCCATAGAAAGGATCTTCAAGTCCTCTGTTATCAATCTTCCAGAACATACTGTTTAGTAACTTCCCTGTCAGGTCAAACAGAGCCTGCAAAACCAGTTTAATAATCTCCTTGGTTACTAATCTATTTCAGTGGTTCATCAAGCCAGTTCTTAATACAGCATATTTCAGAATGTATTACTACATTTGAATGGCTACTGGCTAGCTGGTTTACTACTTAACTCTTTAAAAAACAATTAATTAAGGAGTCAGATTAAACAGGTCTTATGAAAGTAAGTCACTTACTACAAACTACACCTAGGCAACTTAACTAGATGAGCATCAATGGTTTCTCTTTCAGCAGTACCTGAAGTCTCAGCTGAGTGACTTCAGCAAAGGAAGAACAAAACCCGCTAGCAAAGTCCTGTGCTCCCAACACTGGGTTTCAGTGTGGTATTCATAGCAGAAGCACGTCAATGAAAACAAGCACAATGCCTCATGCAAGGCAAGAATTAGAGAAGAAAAATTTAAAGTCAAACATAAAGATGATTCATCACAACACAAAAAAATTGCAAGGAGGCAAGAACAGAAAGGCTGAGACACAGATATACATTTTCCCTCTCAAATGACAGTTCTGTTGGTTTTGAGCAAAGGCTCAGCTACCCTACTTGGTAGTGCACTAATTTCCTAAAGTCAGAATTACTGAAGAGCAGAGGAAATCTCTTTTACATCTCACAATCCCTCTGCCTTCCACATCCTGCCTCCTCTGCAGTGCCTGGGTAACTGTTTACACAGCCTCATGATGAACCAGCCGCTGGTTTAAGATGGCTCGAAGTCCTTCTGCCATGTTATTTTAACCCTGCATCAATACCCCAGGCTAACCCAGCAGCAAAAGCAAAGAGTTGTAGCAGTACCAGTGATAGTAAGTAGCCAGGGATAGAGGAAATAAAGTTGTTGGCAGCTCAATATCACAGTTTCAAGTGCAGGTCTGTCACCTGTACCTGCCTGATTTGTCTTTAGGCAGATTTGGGGGACGGACACTATGGTGCAGCTGAAAACTGTGTGGCCAAATCCTATAATTTCAACAACTAGTACAGGGCCTCAGCACACCTCGAAAGGGGATATAAAAAAATTATGTTCAGGTTCATACAACAACTCATATAATGCAGACAACACTTTTTCTTCTGAAATAGTTTTTCAGATGGACAACTTCCACTATTGAGAAGGTTCTCCCTTTAACATCATAACTTAATGAACAACAGACAAGGCTAAGGAAAACCATGTTACTAACAAGAGAAGAGAGGCAAGAACTCTCCATGGTGGTCCCTCCTACATTTTTTTTTCTTCAGTAATAAGTGGCTGGGATACACTTCTACATGAGGAAGAAGTCTCCTGGAAAGGATTAGCCAAACCTCTTCTGGACAGCCCCACAAAAAAAAGCTGCCTCCTGTTTGGGCTCTAGAGAGCACAAACCAGGCAAGGGATTAGGTGTGAAAAGGGACAGCAACAAAGCTTGCTTTTAATAGGCATTTCAAATATGCCAGTTTCTAAAAATAATGTACAACAGTGCAGACACAGTACAGAAGCAAAAAGCAGATACCGTTTGTAAGCACAGATATCCTTCCTGCAGAACTGGAAGTCCTTGGAGGGTAAGACAGAACCATGAGGCTTTTTGACCTCATAAAACAGATGGGCTGCTGGGAAAATGATATTAGTGGGGGCAGATCTGGAGGGATCCCAAGATCTTTGAGACCATCACACCTAGAAAACAATTCAAGTTTGTCCTGTTACAGAACTGATTCCAACAAGAACAGGCTGCCACTATGACTACTCCCAGAAGCAGAAAGTCAAAGGCCAGAAAAGGAAGTAAAAGGCAGAGCTAAGTACAAGTCTCAGTGTATTCTCTGTAAAGGATTTATTCATTTACTCAGGGTAAGTGCTACAGCACACCACAAGAGAGGGTTTTCCAATGGAATTTGAAAACTTTCTTACTATTTTACACTAGATTCCCTTCCAAGGAGGGCAGCTGATCCCAAAAAGCAGTTTACATATCATACACAGCCTGCAATGCTGCCTGTAAATTGTATAAGTATCTTCTTCATAATGTTTAGTTAAACTAGAAATACTAGAAGTTAATACAAACACATAGTTTTACTCAGACCTTTTCATAATTTTATTAAGTGTTTTGCATAAGCCCATCAAATACAGCCTAATTAACAATAAAGTGGTCTTTGAAGTCAGGTACCTCAGTGTGAGCCTAGAGTAATATATATATATATATACACCAACCTATATTTAACCATTATTTTATCTGGATTAGCTCATACATTATTATAGTTCTGCTATCTCTTTGCAGTACTTTAGCAACAACCAAAACCACAACGTGCAAGACTGTCCCACAACACCCATGTGATATGTTTACTTGAGGACGTGAAGTCAACACACTACATTTAGAAATACATTACATGCCTAGAGACCAGTTTTCAGACATCTAACATTCTCTAAATAAGTTCCAGAAAGAGTTTTCCACTATGACCTGCAGAAGCTCTGCAGCATTAATTATGTTAAGACTGATTCTTGAGGTCTGGACCTTTACCATTACTACTGCCATTAATACATGTCCACTACCCTTCACAATCAAATCACCTGCAGCATTTCTCTTTCTGTAGCCTAGAAAGTTCTGAACCACAAACCTGCATGTGAAAGTTCACACTTTAGAATAGTACAGATAAGAAAGCAGTGTGCTGTACATGCTTTAATTCAATGGTGTGGGTTTTATTTTTCTTTTAAAAGCACACAATACAATCCTCAGCCAGAAATGAGAAGTCATTTATACACTATTTTAAAGGCACCCAATGCAAACAATATTTGAGGGACAAAAATCAAAGCAGGCATTTCAATGCCTTTAAATTCTCAGATGTTCCTGCTGCAGATTCGTCGCCTGCACTTCACCTGTTGGGACTCCAGCCCCTCGCCATAAGCTCCCCCCTTCCAGAGGCTTCTCCTTCCCCTCACACAGCCCCAGCCAGGCCCACGCCGGGCTCTGCACCCACCTCCTGATCTCCCCTGCACGGGGAGCACGTTCAAGATTATTTCCGACATGGAACACGTAGCCAGCTAAAACCTAAACCACGCGCTGCCCACATCTACGTGCGACTCTCGCCTCCCTCCCGGTTCCACCACGCGGCCCTAGCGCCAGGCGCTGCCCGGAGCGGCGCTCCCAGAACTTACCAGAAGAGCCGCCGCTCCCCCCAGGCCGCTCCGAGCCCTGCGGGGGCCGGGCGGGACCCGGCGCCGCCGCCGCAGCCCCGCGCCCGCCCCCGGCCTCAGGGGCCTCCCCAGGCCGTCCCTCCCGCCCTGACTGCGGGGGCTCCCCGCGCCCTCCCACCGCCGCGATGGGGCCGGGACAAGCACGGGCCTCCCACCCCCCAGGGCCCAGCAGCGCCCCGCCGCACGCCCCACGACAGGCCGAGCGCCCCCGCCACCGCGGGCGAGGCCGGCTCCCCCGCGCCGATGTTGCGGAGCCGCAGCGGCTGTGGAGGGAGGGCGCGGCCGGCCGGACACACTCACCGTCCGCCGCCCCGGCCACCGCCGCCGGGCTGCCCTCACCTCCGTCACGTGCCCGCGCGCCCGCCGCCGCCCGCCTATCTGCCGCGCGCCGGCCCCACCCCCGCCTCACGGCGCTCAGCGTCTCCCATTGGCGGACAGCGCGCTCGTCCGCCCGCCCAGTCGCCGTTTGTGCACTCTGATTGGCTATTGTCACCGCCGCTCAGCAGCCGGCCCGCCTCTAGACACGCCCCCAACGGCGCTGCCCTTCGTGGAGCGCTGTCATTGGTTGGCGGGGTTGCAGGAAGTGCCGGCTGATTGGGTGGGCGCGGGCAGGCCGTTGGGATGTGGGCGGGGTCCCAACGGGTGGCGGTCCAGGGGCGCTGCGGGCGGCGGGGGGCGGCGGGGGGCGGCAGGGGGCGGGGCCAGCCGCAGCGCCTCGCGCCTTGCCCGCGCCCCCCCATCCCCTCACAGCCTTCACCCTCTGCTCCATAAAATTCCGCTGTGTTAAACAGCAGAGACATCTTTACGTCTTCTCGTTCTTTAGAAGGGGTGTTCGGGTTTTCTTGCCTATTCAACAAATTCAGTGTATCTGGTGGTCTTTCCCTCTGTTACAAGCCGAGGGTTTAATAAAATAGCGAACAGTGACGCAGACTCCGGCGTATTCGGAATATGGCAGTGCTGCTCAGCAGCTGCTTGCCCAAAGGCCTTGTGCAATTCCGGAACCTTTAACCTGTGCTGTATTTTAAAAAGGAAAGTAACGCAGTTTTGTAGAGGTGAAACACTGTATAAATGTTGAACATTTGTACATTGAATCATTAAAGAAACACAGGGAAATACAGAAAAAAGTGTCCTTGGTGGGCCCATGGGACAGACAGGCCGAAGGAGACGCCGGGTTTGATGGACCATGTGAAGGAGGTCAGGATTAAGCCTGAGGAGTCTCCGTGTCCTGCTGCACACACAGCCGTGTGGGAGGCAGGGAACACGGCCCCACGGTGAGGAAAACAGGCTCTGGTAGCCTGGAAGTTAGAGCACCTTTGTGCTGTCTCCAAGCTGCACCAGCTGAGAGCAGTTCCACAGAAAGCTGGGTCTGAACCACCCTGTTCAAAGCCAGCTCCTGCATGGTCTCTGGGCTGCAGCCTGTTCCAGGAGATAGAAGGTATTCTGCAGGAATAACAAATCCAATATTACTAAAGAAAAGAAAGAAAGAAAAGGGTGGTGGTTTTTTTTTTTTCCTTTGTAAACATAAATCTGTTTTGAGTTGATGCAATGAGTCAGCAGTATAAGTTTCCCCACAGAGAAAATTCCACTGTGTTAGGACAAAGCAAGCAGGGCCTCAGCATTCAGAAATAAGGCTCAGCATAAATGAAATCAGCAAATCCCTGCTTGCACTGAAGTTTGGAATCAAACACATTTTTCCAGAAAGACACCGAGCTGGTTCCTAAACTGCTCTGTTGAGCTATACTCAGACTTAGCAGAAGATGCAAAAAGGCAGGGAAACAGTCACAAGCAGGCAGCACAGGAGATATCAAATGCTTAAAGAAGAACCTAAAAACACTATGGAAAAATACTTTAAAGAGTAACAAAACAGTATATAATCTAGAAAAACCCATTTTTCCACCAAATATCTTTCAAGCCTTTTTTTTGAAACAGGTTATTAACTGCAACATGACTGCAGAACAGCATAATACTCCTGCTGAAATCACAGAAGCACCAGGAAGTCAAATACACACACACACACACATGCACACACGTGATTCCCCTTTCTCTCCCACCCTTTCCCAAAAAAGAAAACATTCCTTCCTTTTACAACCTGCTGAATCATGTCACAGGCAGCCCTGGAGCTGGCTCCTGCCTGTGCTGCTTTGTCATCGAGAAGAAAGGAGCACTGTAAGTTAAAAAAAAAAAAAAAAAAAAAAAAAAAAAAAAAAAAAAAAAAAAAAAAAAAAAAAAAAAATGAATCTGCTAAAAGCATATCTTATGTGGGGATTTTCGAGATGTTTGAACTTAGATAAAAGAAATACAGAATGAACACAACAGAGAGATAATCCAGAAGGAAAGCAAAAGGGATGAGTAAAGGAAACTGAAGAAACATGCACAGAGATTTAACTGCTTTGGCAGCTGAGAAGATGGTATTTTTAGACTCTAGAGTGCCAGGGCAGGGAAGGTGAAAGAAAGAGAATGGCAGATACCACATGGTAAACATGACATTGTCAAGGAAAATAATTTTGGTGTGTTCAGGCTTTATTGCAGCAGATCTGCTTTGTCCCACTGACAAACACACAGGAAGTGTGTTGCTCTCTGACTTTGGCAGTACAGTTAAAAAGGCAGAAATCAGGCAGTGTGGTGAGACTGGCAGAGCCTGAATATGCACACCTCAGAGGTGAGAGGCAATGGTCAGTTTATTAGTGCACTAGACTGTGTGTAATTCTATTTGTGGGAACTTTCTTTTCCTGAGTGTTATCAGACAGAAACGTCATGTGCTTTCCACTGGTATTTTCATAATTCTCTAACTTTATCTCCAAAGTGTTCCTCCTTCCTTAATCCCTTCAGGGCATTGCCACATTGCTAGAGTTCTCCTTGCATTTCAAGCACTAGTAGTACATCTTTTCAAACTCATCTCCTCTGGAAAACTGGCAAGAAACGAGTGGAAAATCCAGCAGGTCAGCGTGACAGGAGGGACACCACACTGGCAGAGAGCAGGCAGTCAAGGCAGACAACCAGTGAGAGTACACTGACTTTTGCTCTTTCAAACTTTGAACTGCAGGAGGGGAGGCAAGCTCACATCACTGTACGGAGCAATGTCCATGTGCTCTGGAATGCTTTCCATGGAAAACACATTTTGTTACAAAGACATCTCTGGGGACAATGCTTGAGAGAAGGATGGGAAAAGATGTATGAACATTATCAGAACAGGGGGAGGATAATCATCTTAAAGGGAAATAATGAAGTCCTGCCATTTTCAGAGTTAATAAACATGAATGTAACAAGTGTTATAAATTAATTGTAATACGATGAAGCAGATAAATAAAAGAAAAAAATCAACAGATAAGTAGTAACTGAGCACTCACACATGGATAGAAAGAGACAGGCAGAGAGCACTGAGGTGAAGGAAGACAATCTATCGACCTGATACCGTTTTCACAAGCTGGGAAGTGTCCCTGAGAACAGGAACTTTACAGACAACTTCTGGGAAGCAGAAATTCAGAGTCACCCGAGACAAGATAGTAGGTGCAGGTTTAGTCTGGACATAAGGTAGGGAAATCTTGATGGTTGTACACACCTTTTCTGGCTGTCATAAGCATTGCACCAGTTTGCTGGGAACAATCTGGCTTCCACCGTGCCCCTTTCTGCCAGTTCTTTCATGGACCTGGTGTAGATTTGCTTGAGAGCGGCCCTCATATATCCCCAGAACTGTGTCCTCCCTGAGGGTCTCACACTTGAGGCATTTGTATCCAAGCATGGTTGCAACATGTGGACTGGAGTTATTCCCTCACTAGGGAAATACAGGTTACCCTTTGGATTTAAACAGATGAAGGCTTGCCAGAAACAGCAAGAGGCTGCCAACACCGTCCTGTCCTTAGGGCATTAGCAACACCCAAAACCTTTTGCAAAGAAGAAAATGCTCGATCCCCACAGCTCCCTGAGAGGCAGGGCACAGAGAGGGGCTTGAGTGTGATTAGCAGCAAGGCCAAAAGAGAGACACTGTGTTAGAACAGAGTCTTTCCACTTTAGCTCACACGTTTCAGATTCACCAGATCAGAGACTGACAATAGCTGCTCTCCCCCAGCTGCTCATGGATCTGTGATAATTCCTCTACGATAACCTCTTGAGTTGGTACCACCTTGCATGGTACCACTGGGGGCTGTCTGGCTCAGGGATTGTGCTTTGTGTGTTTGGAAGCAGTTGTTTGTTTTGAGGAACAACAACAAAAAAATCCCAAAAACAACAAAAACCAACCAGACCCAAGAAAGCCCCCAAAAAAACCACAGAAAAACCCTCAGAAACTCACAACAAACAAACAAACAGCTCCCCCCATCAAACAAACAAAAATAAACCATTTTTCAGTGGTCAAGTTTCTGAATGTCTTAACTTTCGACAGTTTCGTTGGATGTGATTAATGGCAAATGAAATTCCATTCAATCCCAGGGTAAAAGGAAAGTGCTTAATTGGTGTTATTATTATGTAGAGGGAAGAGGGGCAAGATAAGCAAGGAGGAAAGGAAGGAGTGGAAGGAGAAGAAGGAAAGGAAGGAAAAGAAAGGAAAAGAAAGGAAAAGGAAGGGAAAAAAAGGAAAGGAAGGAAAGGAAGGGTCTTCTTCTCCCATAACAACATGTGATTGTTACGAGGCACAATGAGGTCCCGTGGCCAGGATTGCCCAGGAGCCCCCAGCCACATCCCACTTGCCCTTTGGCTTCAGGGGACAAGAACTCTTCCAGCCCTGCACAAGAAGCCTGGGATCTGGAGCCAGATGCAACCCTGGGTTAACTGACCTGGCCTCAGCATCGTGCTCCTCCTCAGCTCTCTGCTTTCCCCACCACAACCTCTTAAAAAACAAGCAAAATCATGGAAGAGTTGCTGCATTCCTGACATGCCATATAAACAGCACAAGGCCACCACCTGGAACCCCTCACCCATCCTAATCCCAATTTACTGAAGTCAATAAACAAGGAATTAGCAGCACTTAACTTAGTAACCTCTCCAGACTGGCCACTCTCCCACTTGCAATCATCAGCTGCTGGAGCTGAAGAGGCTGGATAACAGAAAACATACATTTCAGCCATTTTATGTGTCTGTGTCTGTGTCTTTGTCTGTGTCTAAAAAACCCTCACCACTTTCTTCTTCTAAGCAAGACAGAAACCCAGATGTGGTCAGTACCCTGACCACATGCTGTCTTTTGATCCCTATTTTTTATACTTCCCTACTGTTTTCACTTAAATCTTGCATGCGGTTTTACACTGAGCCTCTTTCTATTACCAGCGTGCCACCTTCCATGTGGCTTCCTCCTGCGTGCTGGTGTGGCTGTGCTGTGGCTGGTGTTGGGCGCCTGCCCCAGCTGAAAGCAAATCAAATAAAAGAAACATGGTTTGATCTCTGCTGGATTAGCAGAATTGGCTTTTTGAGGAGCAACTCAGATGTAGACACGCCTGAACAACTTGAGAAATTGAACCTCTAACATCCAGTGCAACTGCTGATGAAGGCAGGTTGGTGCTGAAATACTCCACTGCCAGAATGGCCCACCCTGCTATGGAGCATCATCTTCTGGTGGATGGCTCCCATGGAAAACTGAGACAACCTATTAAATTGTCATCAAGAGGCCCTGTAAGTTAGAGAGCTCTGTAATGTGCAGGAGGTACTTGCTTCTGAGAAACAACTCCCCCAAGGAAAACCTCTTCCCAGTAACAACTCCTTCCCCATCGTGTGTGAGATGTATGGAGGAGCAAGTGCCCACGGGGAGGGTCACGGCACAGCTGCTCTGTGGCCACGGTGGCTGCCACCAGCCAGCAAGGATTTCCCTGTATCCCTAATAACCACTGGGTCACAGGTTAGAGCTGCAGGTGCTGCAGCTGCTCAAGGGGGGTGCTCCATGCTGGGGGCAGGGTCCACACCTATGCTCACCCCAGGAGGGTTTCAGCAAATGGGAGGGCAAGGCAAGTCTGATGCATATCTATTTTCCAAAGAAAATAATAAGAAAATTGCTTTCTGTCTACACTGTAGTCGCCTGTGCTTTCCTAAGGGCAGCGAAGGAGCTGGACGAGGGAAGTGTAACATGGCGAGTTACAGTCAGCAGGGGGAGAAGCTCCTTCTGCTGTTTCTCCCTGGGGCAGGTCCTGCGAGCACCAGCTGTTCCCAACCGCAGCTCCCCGCTGCCTTCTGGTGGCAAAAATGCATTATGGATCTCTCCCGGCCCGGGATTCTCCTCCCAAGCCGGCGCCAAGGCACTTGCACAGGGCGTGTGGTTTGGGGCCCCGTCTCACACCCTTCCTGGACTCGCCTGCCCTCCCGTCCCTGCAGAGCCATACTAAAGTTCTCTTTTCTGCAGAAAAAGGCTCTATTCTGTGCCAGAAAGGAAGCGGATAAACAAACCCTGTGTTTTGAAAGATCCAACTTTTCAGAAATGAGACATGTTTCCAGTGCTTCTCTCCCACACAGGAGCTCCAAGATCCTGGCAGCCCTTTGTCAACATCCCCAGAAAGTGCAGGCACCTCCGAGGCTCCGGATGCCCAGGTTTAGCTGGTCAGAAATGGTGAACGGATTTCCATTCCTGGTTGCTGGGAGCAAACCAGCCAGCAGTGAAGGGCTTATAGGATTTGCTGCTGCTTGTATTTGTGATAGACATCTCCTAGGAAAGGATTAGCTGCGGGGTCCGGAGGTGGTCCCAGCCTGCCTGGCCTCTGAAGCCCAGCAGGAACAAAGAGTGTGCTAAGGACTTTGTCACTGCCTGAGTGCCCGGCTGCCAAGCTGCGCTGTGCCCAGGGCCAGCAGTGAGTGGCACAGATGTGGCAGCACGATGAGGAGGAGGACCATGGCAAGCCCCTGCTTCCAGCCCACTGCATGGGGCTGTGTGCAGTGGAAGTGACCTTGGCAGGTCCAACCTGGTGTTCCTCCAGAATTTTCTGTGGGAATATGCTGTGTTTTCTTGCATTGCTGTGGCTGGCAGAACCAAAATAACATTACAGTCAGGTGTGCATTCCCTCCCTTGGTTACAGAGGAAAATTTACTGTCTCACTTTTTGTCAGTCTGAATTCTAATCCAAAAATTGTCTAGAGATGGGCAAAAAGTCTGCACTGTGGAGATGTACTGGAAGTTTCTTTTATGGGAGTGTCTATGTTTTTATTGTATCTCACCCGGGAGGCCCTTGAAGTATAGGGTGAATCTGAGATACAGACTGTGGTGTCATTATCTTTGTAGACAACTGGAAACCTTTTGGGTGGGAAGCCAAGGCTGTCCACATCATCAGGAATCATCCTGAGAACCCTGCAGCCCTACCCCACACCAGAGGGCTCTGCTTTGGAGCTGCTTGTTCATGCCAAAGGAGAGACAAGGGCTCTGATGAGTGTATTAACACCAAACATTTCTGCCCATTCCGACTCATTCCAAGGCAATAGCAGAGCTTGTCCTAAACTACCGAGTTTTA